TACCACATCTGCTTTCAGCTCCTCCTTGCCGTCATTCATTGTCTCTTTACGAATAATATTCACATTCACCATTCGTTCTGTCTTTGGTTTGGCTGTGTGAAATGCATGCTTTACAAAGCGTTCTTTCAAAGCTTCCAGCTCTACACAATCCAAAAAAAAAAAAAAAAAATCCAAAAAGAAATTTGCTATAATCATTGTGGAATAATTATACCTTTTTTCATTTTTTAAAAGCCAGTCCAATACTGGATCTGCCTATAACTTAATTCTGTGCCGTTATCTGCTAAGTTCTTTATATTTCTGTTGCAGAAAACAAACTTCTCTCTTGAACAAAGCATAAAATACCAGAGATCTGAAATCAAGACTCAAAAGATTACTGTTTTGGTTCACACATTCTTTTCATTTAAGGAGTAATTCTGTTATTTGAATGAGGATCCCTCAAATGTACTTCACCTATCAAGAAGGGTCAAGTTTATATTAACTTCTGCAAATTAGGAATTACCCCAGCCTGTCATAATAGGAAGAGTTCTTGCAATGGAAAAAACATTTTTTTTTCATTTCCTCCACTTCTTGCATCTGCTGTGAGCCATAATGATTATCATGGATATCTGTGCAACAGAGTTTATTATTTCAAGTGTGGAAACAAACTGGCGAAAACAGTGATTAAAAATATATTTGGAACAATCCTTGTCATAAAATGAGTTTCGGAAGTATTCCCCTTTATTAGGCTAATTTTTGCTGCTTGATTTTAAAAAGTCAAATTACCTTCTCTTCTGCTTGACTACAGTAGGGTAAACAGCAAAAGGTTGGGCAGAGAAAAGAAGTAAATCCAAAACTCACTGATGGTTATTTATAAAAATTATCTCTCTGCTTTTTTAGTCAATATTCTCTTATTTTTTTCTGTTCTTGCTTTCAATTTAAATTATACATTTAAGTTCCTTACGTTAAAGGAATTTATTACAGGTAGGCCTTGACCTAGAACGGCAATTGGAACTGGAATTTCAGTCACTAAGTGATGCATTGCAAAGCACAATCAGTATCATTTAGTGATGGCAATCCCTGCAGTCCCAGTTGTCATCGTTAAGTCAGTGGGAAAGCTAGCAGGAAATTGCAAGTCTCAGGGGGTTTGCAAGAAGGCTGGCAGGCAGATAAATGGCTGCTATCGGGTGGAGGAGGGCATGCAAGGGAGGTGCAACAAGGCTCAGGGAGGGTGCACAGGGGTGCGAGGAAGGCGCAGCGAGGTTCAGGGAGGGTGCGCAAGAGGGTGCGTGAGGGTATGAGGGAGACACAGCGAGGCTCAGGGAGGGTGTGCAGGGGTGCATGAGGGAGTGAGAGGCACGATGAGGATTGGGGAGGGTGTGAGGGGGTGTGCGAGGGAGGCATGGCAAGGGTCAGGGAGGGTGCATGAGTGGCCAGTGCAGTGCAAGCACAGCAGGGCTGGGGGAGGGTGTGTGGGTGGGGGAGACTTACCTTCCCTGCCGACTTCCCCACTGACTTTCTGGGGAAGCTGGCAAGGGAGGTTGCAAATGGCAATCATGTGACTGCAGGGTGCTGCAACCAGTCATAAGAGCGAGCTGGTTGCCAAGCACCCAGATTGTGATCACGTGACCACGGGGGTGCTAGGATAGCTGGAACTCCAAGGACCGGTCATAACCACCATTCATTCAGTGCCATCGTTAACTTCAAGCAGGCACTGAATGAATAGTTGTAAGTCGAGGACTACTTGTATGTGAGTTTGACAAACTGATTTGACAAACTATGGCACAGTCTTTGATAAAGAATCAATTACTGCTCCTATAATTTCAATATAAAAAAAAGCAAAGAGCAGCAGGACAATGTATTAAATTGTACAGGAAAAAATGCAATAGAAAATGTCTTTCCTACTTTCCCACAAATCTCTTAAAGCAAATTCCTGCCACGGAGGGGTTTCTACACAAAGGATCATGGCACAGTGTGACACCTTAAAACCATATTCATAGCAACAATCTAACCAGGTTCAGGGTAAGGTGTTAGTTGGTACTATACCTCTGTTGGGTTCAGGTTCATCAAGGTTAATAAATGACTCCATGCCAGAACATAGTCTAGGCTTAATACTCAGATCCACCCCCAGCTCCCGTAGCCAATCTAATTTGGACTTCTTTATTTTGTCACCAGGAACTTCCACCACTGCCTCCAGGCATTGAATGGGTTCTTGGGGTACCACATGCAATTCCAGTGATTGAGCCTCTCTTTCTTCAACTATATTTCCTTCCAGTTTCTCCTCCAGTGGTTTGATGGATTCAGCAGGGACTTCATTAAGTTCTCCTTCTTTCCTGGAATTCAGCTCCTCCCTAAATTCTGTTTTGGAATCATCATTCTGCTTATCTTGTTCAGAGCAATGTTCTATCAAATGTTCCGTTTCCTCCGCAGAAGAGCTGCCTAGACTGACAGCCAAAGGATTTGCAAAACCTGAAGTTGGCAGATCCAATATTTCTGACTGGAGAAGCTGTTCTTTCCCACTGTTATGGCAGCTGATACCAGAATTCCTTGCCACAGCATCTTCTTTGTACAGAGTGGGTTGAGTTTTCATTGATCTGTTTAGCAAGACAGAGATAAATCAGCAACATCCTCATTTCCATTTAACTCAGTCACTTCAAAATGTGAGAAAATCAAGCTAAAGTTATAGAGAATATAAAAGAAGGGATCTATATGAAATAAATAATTGTGATTGGATTATTGCAATGTACTCTACATGCCCTGAAAATCACTGGTGCAGAACGCAGTAGCGCCGGTAACGCTGGGCATGCCTTGGTGTGCCCATATAACTCCATTGCTCCATGAGCTGCCTTGGCTACTCATTCAATTCACGGTGCTGGTTATCACTTATAAAGCCCTTCACAGCACAGGACCAGGTTATCTGAGGGACTCTATCTCCCATGGTTTTTATCTGTCTGGCAACGTCAGGCAGAATTAATGCCTTCTGCAATTATATCCCCCTGAAATTTGTGTGGTTCACACCCTAATGATGTTCCAGAGGTCTTTAAAAACATAGTTGTTCTCCCAGGGCTTCATGCAGGATGATTGTGGAGCCCTATTAGTGTTTTATTATGTGGGATATTATTGTCCAGGTGCTCTAGTTCCTTTTTATTGTTTTTGTTTTAAATTGTAAGCTGCCCCAGAGACATTTTCCAAATCCAATCAATCAATCAATCAATCAATTACACTTCATAATCTATGAAGCAACAATAGAAACTACCTAATTGTGCACAGGATTCAAAAACAAAGAACATGTCAGTGAAATCAGTTCACTGCAACATGCCAAATTAGTAAAACTTTCTAGCTCAGAATAAGTAACAGTTGTAAACATAAGAATACCCTAAATGGGAAGTTTGTCATGTAAATAGTACACTAATTGGGGTAACAACAGTTATTGCTATACTTATTAAATAGTTTATATAACTACCTCTGTTTAATTAAAAAACAGAGTCCAGTAAAATATGAAAATTCAACAAGGCATAAAAAACCAAGCAGAAAATACTATCACAGCAGTATATAATACATTATTTAAAAGGGACAAGAACAAACTGTGGGCTCTGAATTAAAGATAATTCTTCTTCAAGTTTATCCAGTTTTGTCCAAGAAAAACAACGAGCATTGAGAAAGTTTCTCAAATTGAAAACTATGCAAGTTTGCTTATTTTATACAATATCCTTGGGGTTTGCTTATTAAACCAAAAGCTGGGACAGGCACCAAAACGCAATTCTTGACATTTAAACTTTTGTAGAAACACCCCTCTGATTTCTAAAATTGCAGCCAGCATATTTCACAGCCACAAAATGTAGAAATATATATTTTTTTTCTTCTAGTAATCCTTTAGAAGCTGGATTGTATACCCAATCACAATTTATGCTATTCCAACAGCGCCAGCAAAGAACGGTGAGAAGTTAGGAGAATATGAATGAAAGGAAATTGGACTTACTTCAGCAAAGCCATTGCACTTCCCTGGAAAGAAGGACGAGGTTTGTGCTTGAAGAATTCCTGCACGCTTTTGGCTTCTGGCAGATGATACGGTAGAGGCACTGCAGCTTCTACCATGAAAAAATGAGAAGAGGAAATCAATCCAAGCAATGCCATTGATTACACTGTTATCATAACATTACTTTGAATTTAACAAAAACACAAGAATATCAGAATTATGAAGCTGATTTTCAGCATAACCCAGATAGCTCAGTAGACTGTGTAGCACAGTATTCCCTATTTTGACAGGGAATTTATTTCCATTGTCAGGCAATTCAGAGTTCCTCTCTCTTTTTTTGAAACTGCAGATGCCAAGATTTAAAAACCTAGCCATTCATGCATGCAGCTATGGTTCCTTCCTTATTTAATCAGGATTCATGATCTACTTTGTTAGGTTCTGGGCAAGTATTTGAATTTAGCAATTTTAAGAGACCAGGTGATGATTCACATCCAAGTCTGTTAAGGAGCCTCCAGATATCTACAATAGCTAGGTGGTGCTACTTCTGCTATGGCCACCTGTAGGACCTCCACCAGTCCCATCTACCCTGTCTATGACTCGGCCTTTTTTTCCTAACGGTTGGCTTCTGCTTGGACTTGGAGGGAGGTGCTGCTGGAATGAGGGAGAGAGGACCGAGCAAGCAAGAAACATACAGATGCACCTAAAGAAATGCAAAGGCTGAGAGACACTGGGAATAAACCCACCACTTTTCCCATTAAAAAGACAGAAAAGACACCACCCGGAGTCGCTCTGCAGTGAGATGGGCAGTGAAAAATTTGGAATACAAATAAATAAATAAATAAATCAGAATCCTACTATTTTATTTTTAATCCCTATATAAGAAAAGGTAAAATAAACTGTTCTATGTTTTTAAGTATTAAAAAATTAAAACAAAATTAAAATGTAAACAGGTGAAAGTGTGGCAATGCTTGTTTTAAAGCAGTCAAAACTTTGGTTTTCAAAATTTCTTGAGAAATGAAAAAAATTAAGGATCATAAATGAGAATGCTCAGCTGTACATCAGATTCAGAAATGAAATTTCATAAGATATAAACATTATTCCCAGCACATACCCCCAAACACTTTTTCTCAGCTTTTTTCTGGAAATCAATGTATTTATTTGATATATAGGAAAGCAAGGTTCAAAACACATAACCTTTTTTTAAATATGTCAAGTTACTACAATGTCTTCAGTACTGTCAGCTGCTTTTGTTAAACACACAAAAATAAGAAAAGCTACTTTTCTTAGACTTCAGCACCTGTAGCTCTATTTGATATGAAAATTAACAACATTTTAACATAAATCAAATCTATCCATTGATTAAATTTATTTCTAATTATTTTTTGAATAAGCTATAACCTTTCAACTTTGTATATTAAACATACTTTTAGGTGTAAACCAAGTTGTACATAATATGTTTTATAGAGTACAAAGTAATTGTACATATATAGAGAGTGCTGAAGATAAGTACTGTATAGGTACTGCATTCCAAACTTCCATTCTCTTCCTGGAAAAAATATTTTTATATTGCTTTAAAATTTCCAGAAAACTGTATTTCTAGGGTGAGCACGCACATGTTCTCACTAAGTTTGGTTACTGTCATGTATAAAACTCTCAGCCCATGGAATCTAATTCATAGGGACCTCAGAATCTTAAGTCAGGCACCAAAATGTAGTCAGGACATAGTGAGTATTGTTTCAGTTTCAGGTACATTTTATATTTGCTTAATGAATAAAACTATACAATGTCATATTGGATTTATTTGAAATGAATTTATATAAAAGTCGAAGGATCTAAATGGGGTTCTTAAACTAGGGGGTATGAAAAAACTCCAAGAAGGATGAGAGGATGCGAAATTTTTAGAAAATTTGCCATGATGAGTCAATGCCTACAAAGATCAGAATCATGGAGGCAATGGTCCTTCTTGTGATACTTTATGGAGGCAAAAGTTGAGGAAGAGGGATAGAAAAACTATTGACACTTTTGAACTTTGGTGTTGGAGAAGTCTCTTGAGAATACAACAAATAGCCAAGAAAATAAACAAATGGACAAATCAATCCAGAGTTTTCACTTGAGGCACAAATGACCAGGCTCAAATTATTGTATATTGGACACATTATATGAAGACCTAGCTCCCTAGACAGGTCCATAATGGTGAGAAAGAGAAAGAAAAGAGAACAACCAGCACCAAAACTTATAGAACTGATTTTAGCAATGATGGGTGCACCGTTGCAAGACTTGAAGGGCCAGGTTGGTCACAGATCATCTTGGAGAAGGTCTATGGGATCACTAAGAGTTGAGTTCATCTTAGTTTGATGTGTTTTCTTGTACAAATTACTTGCCAACAAGAGCAGTTCTTTTTTAGCACAATTACTGTGCTATAGGAAAATTGCCCCTGGGGTGTCTTAAAGGCATTACAGAATCTCAGCATTTTCATACCTCTAACAAGTCGCTGGCTCTCACTATGTAGCTGCTTGTTCTCTTCTTTAGTTAACTTGGCTGCTTTCTGCTTCTAAATAAAGGAAGGAAAATCTTGGAATAAAAAACTGTTTTAAAAATAGTAAATCAGCATATTGTTTAAATGTAATTAAAAAATAGACAGGCAGAGGATAGAAGATGCATGCCACCATACAAATCTCTACTTAAAAGTTAAACAAAAACTGGAAAAAAAAAATTAAAGTCAAGCATAAGTCAATATGGAAAAAAATCTTTACCTTTCTAGGTTCTTTTAAAAGTGGTCTCTCATTTTCATCCATCACAAGTTTGTAATCCTCATTCTCTAAAAATAGCTGGAACCAAAAAGGGAATCTGTTAATTGTCATCATATCTATGAAGGCCTGCTGTTTCAAAAATTGCTTATGTAATTTTCATACCCACTCCTTCTCTAATCTGGGGAATCAGAGGGGTTTTGTTGGGACTGTGAGAAAGTGGATAAAGCCAATGGCTTAGTATTCTAATTACCCTTAGAAACTGCTTATACGTTTAAAAGAAAAAAGAAATATGACCAAGCAACAAATCAGATTAACATGAAAATTAAAAAGTCACTTTTAACTTCTGTATAATGGCATCAAGAAGATGCAATAAGGTAACCCATATTACTAGCTTTTTAGGAGCAAAAGTTATGGATCCTTTGGATAACTGTCCCTCAAATAGATCACAGAGTGGATGCTTAAATTAATAGGCTTCAGCAACCAGATATTGTGCAAAAACAGAAGTCAAAACACAGCCGAACAAATCTGTTAAACTACAATTAAATCATATACTATACCAAGAAAACTGCTGAAATTAAAAATGTCTTTAAGAAAGAAGAAGTCCTGGATTAGAAAAGGAATGTAAATAAGATGACATTTCCTCAACAATACCAATGACTTTAAAAAGTACAAAACAAAGATGGAATACAGGGAAATTATCCACTTTTTAGAAAAAGAACATAGTGCATCTCTCTCTCTCTTTCTCTCCATCCATCCATCCAAATGTACAGGTGCATCAGAACTTTATCTCTACAACCTACAACCGGTGTGGCTCTTGGGGCCCCCAAACATGCATGTCTGTGGTTTAGCACCACTTCTGTAGTCCAGCTCAGAGTTTTTCAATCTTTAGGATTTGGTAAGACCTTGATGGGGTTCTATGAGAGACTAAGGGCAAGAAAGAAAAAAAAAAGCACTCAAACACAGCCAATTTTCTGTCACTAGTGCTTTGCCTCTTGATTAAGGATTCTGGGAATTTTTTTTTTCTAAATAGGTTCCACAGCCTGAAAAAAATTAAGATAAAAACCAAATCCCTGATGCAACCCACCTTCTGTTTTTTTGTTTTCACTTTCTCTGCAGTATTTAAGGACACTTGCAACTTTTCAACTTGAAAAGGAGAATCATCGTCCTCTAGACCATTGTCAAAGAGCTCTTTATCTGCCAGCAAACACCCACTGTCATTGAAAGGAAAATCTTCACCATTCTCCTATGAACAATGGAAATAAAATACAAGAACTCCAGTTAAGACATGCAATTCCCATTTTCCTAAATCAGAGTTTTTCAAACCTGCCCCCCCAAAGACAAAACTACAACACCTGTAATTGCCAGCTTGACACCTTTCAGATCTGTTGAATTAAAGTCCTCAAGCAGCTATGACAGTGGTTATAGCCCAGTACTAGAAACTCGGTTGGGGAGGCCAACATAGGAGAACCCCCCGCAAAAAAACTTTAAAAGATTACATTGGCAGAATGAATCACTCCGCACCTCCCCACCAGATGTTTTATGTAGAACTGAACAATTAAACAACCTACCAATTCACACTATAACACACCTAATGCATCCAGATCTCAGCCTCTTTTAAATAATTTATCACACACTATATCACAGTGGATTATAAGCAATGTGTTTTGTGAGGTCAGCCATTCAATCAATCTGCATACATTGAAAAATCCACAGCAGGGAAAATTCTGCGCTAGAATGACTCAACCTGCTATTTATCTTTCCGTTTGCAATGTTTGCAGTTGCTACTTTCGTAAACAGAGAGGAATACCTGCATAAGCAATCAACCATCTTTCAAAGAACAACATATCAGTATTTCAGTCAACAGGCAAAGCATTTCTTTCCATGCCACTCAATGCAACAAGGGGGACAAATCATTAAACGGAGGCTCATCATTTGCATCAGTCCTGTCTGATATGAGCATGTTGCGTGCTACAAAATGATTCTACAGAACTCAGCAGTTATCTTACTTCCCATCATACCTTTTGTTCTTCTGTCTTTTCCTTCCCTCTTGTTTGTCTCATGGTCTTCCTTTTCTTCTCTTCCTTTCTCTTCCTTTTCCTTGAGCTGTTCTTTTCTTTAATTTCCTTCATACAGAACCTGTTGAAGCTCTTGTCTTCCCTCTCAGGGTTCCCCAACTGAAGCTGAGGCAACAGGTTCTCAGCATCGCTGTCATCACTGTTGATCCCAGCCTTGTAGGAGAGGTGGTCTTTATTTCCCTTTACAGCCAACCAATTACAGTTTTCCTTTGTGCTTTCCACATTGCTAGCTGCAACCTTCAGTCTCTCAGGGGCACCGTCTTCTCCTTCACTATTGCTGTCGGCAAGCACTCTCCTGCATTTAATTCTCTTACTCGTGCAGATCTCTTCATCTGAATCTGCCCCAAATATACAAAACACAGACTATGTTCACTCATCATGTAAAGCCATAGTTTGTTTAACCCTAGTTTACCATTAGGTGAGTTCACACAATCCACTAAACCATAATAAAGTTTACCTAGATTGACTTAAGATATTTTAGCCAGATGTTATAGAGCAACTAATTAATGTTATAGAGCAATTAATTAATTCCAGTATAAAAACAACCTTTAAGCTTTGTAAGGTGTCAAAAAAAATTACAGATGGGCTGCACTACAAAAAAACACATTCACCCCCCACAAACAATATTCATAACATTAGATTAACAAACTAAATTGAAACTGTATTGTAGTGAAATTGTACCAAAAAGAGACATACCTCCTTCATCAACAGATGCCACTCGCTTGCTTGTCTGCGACTGGAAGCTCATTTCACAACTGCCTTGTCCACTGTCTGAATCGCTGTCAAAGCGGTCCTGAATTTTCACATCTTGGGCATCCAAATGAAGCTACAGTTCATAAACAATGTTAAACATGACAAGAAGGACAAGCACATGTAATCTCCAGTAAGCACCTGGGATTTAAAAAAGAAGGTGAGTCTGACCTATTCGTTTCCCGTCAGACTCAAGTCCACACTGTGCCACTACCATGCACTTTCTACATGAAGTTGTAATGCAAGATTGCCCAAGTCTAAGCTTGGTATTATCAATGTACCAGTCATATCCAGGACTATTTCACACTTCAAATCGGCTCCAGAAACCTCTGAGTTATAAAACTGTACTGAGGTGCGATTGCAATTCTGCATTGCAAAAATCAAAGGCAAGGTTCACACATTGTACAAAGTCTTAATATTATTTGGTTCTGATATATGTTGTATAAAATCAAATCACTGTGGTTTATTCATTAAACCATTGCTAAATGAATGGCTTAGTGACATTTGTAAAATTTAGCAGTTGGCTTTTACAGAGTTCATGGCTCATTAACAAAAGGGAATCAATTAGCTTTCCTTCATTGTTTGTGAGAGGGTCCTTCAACCATCTTTCACTACGATATGTCCAAGAACGAGATTTAGGAACTTACAGTCATCTAGATGCTATCAGTTATATCCATATTGGACTGGCACTGGAGAGAATTAGGTTGAAGTCCAGGCTTTTTTTTTTTTTATGGATGACTTTTGGCCAATCACATTCTTTCATTCCAGCCTACCTGACAGGGTGGTTGTGGTGGAGAAAAATGGGAGGAGGGAGCACTATGTAAGCTATCTTGAGTTCCTAAACTAAAGATGGAATATAAGTCTCCCGAACAAATACACTATCTTGATTGCAAAGCTTAATGAACAAATCCTCTTGACACTGTTGCTACATTACTGTCTTTCCCACAAATGGTTAATAGTTGTATAGTAGTTGTATTTATTAGCATTGTATTTCATTCCTCCAATAACAAGCAGATTTCCATGCCATTGCTTATATATACTTGCTGTAATAAAAAATATGCAACAACACTATACTGTATACTTTATCTTACCTTATCTCTTTATATCCTTAACAAGGTTGACCTGGTCCATGGATTGCACTAAACTGTTTATGCTTAACCATGATTTTTTAACTAAGCTACAGTTAACTGGATTCACATACTATACCATGAAACATGGTTTACATACCACAACAGCTGAGTTCACACAATGTGCTAACTAAGAAAGCAAAATATATGAACCCAGCCTACTGTTTGGGGATTGAACTCACATCTGTAGCTTTTATATTCTTTGGATGTTGTTCAATGACAGCTGTCAAAACCAGTATAAGGGCTGGATTTATTGGAACTCATACTCTGTCAGTATTAGGAGAACCACAAATTCCCTACCCTTGCTTCAAAATGTAGAAATTTGGTGCATAAAATATAATACATGTAAGATACAAATATATATATATATATATATATATATA